CATTGAATCTTTGTTTCAAGAAAGATAAACAGATAAAGATGCCAAAATTATATTCACATTGAGAATCAGCATGGGTAGTCAGACATACTGCTTCTGTAGAACATAGTTATCATGGCTAGCAGTGACTATTTGCTTAATTTCCTTCTGAAGCCATACTATCTATATCTATCTATCTATCTATCTATCTATCTATCTATCTATCTATCTATCATCTATCTATCATCTATCTATCTATCTATCATTTATCTATCATCTCTCTCTCTCTCTAAATGTATAGCAAAAAGAAGAGAGATTATCTGAGGATATTCAATTAAGTTTCACTCAGAGTTTACTCATTGAAATTAACAGATGTAATTTAGTCACACTCATTAATTTCAATGAGTTGCACATCAGCTTAAAACACCTGAAATTTCAGATATACCAAATAAACAGGGAGCATATTGCTTTTTCCATATCCTGTTTCTTTTTATCTTAAACAATAATTTAACCAGAAGTAGCTATCCTCTCAAATTTTGATGATTAATATCCAGCCCAGTAGCAAAAACCCCCAACCCACTTGCCTTGTGAGTGAAGGCAATGGGCAACGGGAGTGAAGTCAAACCATTGGAGAATTACAGCGCCTGCTGTGGCTGTAGAGACCAATACAGGAGAGACGTGTTTTGTTGCACCTGGGGCAGAAGCAGGCATCAGGTTGCGCTGATGCCCAGATGACAAGAGAACACAGAAACCTTGCACGATGCTGGACGCTGCAGGCGACAAAAAGCCAAACACCCCCCGTGACAACCAAATGAAAGTGATTATTGGGACATGAACAACTCTGCTTGCAAACATATATAAAATTTACAAAATACAAGTTGTCCAAGGCTGTGGCCAGTGAAAGAAAAATAAACCATACTGAAGCCCTATCTATGCTATAAGTTTATAGCACTATTTAACCATCCAGTTTTCTGTCTGGCTAGAACCCAGAAAACTGCAGCAGTCTGTTGACCATCAGTCAAATTACCTATATGAATTGCGAATAATCATTCCACCCCAATATTTGTGAGGCCTTCACTGGTGATGCTCATCGGATGCTGTGATCCTCTCTTCATGGTCTGGGATTACTTGCACCTACCAGGACCTTTCAGTAGTTGCATGAGGTTGTCCTTCAGTTGCTTCTGCTGAGGGAGGCTTGCGACAAACCACAGGGCCTTTTCTGTTGTGGCTCCCCACTTGCAGAATGCTACCAGTGAAGTCCACCTGGCACCATTTTAGTGCCTGGCAAGACTTTTCTGTATTTGGCATTTGATGGATTAGGATGATTTGTCTACTTATAGTATTTTTGTTGCTCTTTCACTGGGCTTCCCATTACTTTTTATTGTAATGCTTTTCAGATCTTTCAAATTCTGTAAGTCACTTGGATCTTTTTTTTTTAATGTGTCAGGTGATCAGTACATTGAGTGGATAATAAAAAATACACCCCCCCATCAATTGTTCATTTCCCCCCCCTTCCCAATACATCTTAGCTTTGGCCTTCCATATTTGCTCTTCAACAGGGGCACCACTGACACCCCAAGCTTGACTAAGATACTAATTCCAGAGTCAGGGAAGCAGCAAAAAGGAAGTGGCAGGTGTTGGGATATTCCGTTCCACCTTAAGGGGCAGGCATGAGACTGTTGTGTGTCACATGTCTGTTTACACTCTAACACAGTTTGCTGGGAACTTCCGTTTGTGTATAGCTATTGCTTATGCCGGCTTGCTTTGGACACGAAAGGGATCAGACATGTTTTCCTTTTGTCCTCCTGATGCTGAATAAACTGCTTGTAAAATGCTCACACATACTCTCCCGGCACTTCTGTTGCGTAGCGTTATCTCTGCTGATTAGTGTGTGCCCTAGCTTTTGAAGTTCGGGTTGCTGATTCATGCGGCAACAAGGACTGGAGTTCATCCGGTACACCGGCCGGTGGGATGGAGCCAGCTGGGGACCTGCCCATTGCCCCCGCTTCCTTGGTTGTATGCCAACAGCAGGGCTCTCCCTATCGTTACGGTTAATAAGAAATGAAGTCCAGTGCCCTCCTTGGCAAGCGCGCCAGGGAGTCATACACACAAGTAGTGGTAACTACTATTTCTTTATTTTCATACAGCCACACCTGCACACATCAGGCAGTGGAACCCATAGAGCCACATACAGAGCAAAAAGACATGAACTTGCCTTGTGAGTAGGGGCAGGGACAGCTGTATTTGTTCCTCTGGGCTTCTTCTGTCAACAACCTTCACCCCCTCCTGGGCCAGTTTCTACAGTCTGTTGCAAAGTATAGCTGCCCAAATCAGGCTAACCTCATTATTAGAACCCCAAACTGCAGTCACATCCATAGTGAAGATTTAAAGCACAGAACTTTCCCCAAAGAATCCTGGGAAGTTTAGTTTGTTATGGGTACCGGGAATTGTAGCTCTGGGAGGGGACAACGACAGTAGCCAAGATTCTTGGGGGGAGAACATGGCTGTTGAAGTGGAATAAATGTGCTTTAAATGTGTCTTTATTTCATTAACTTTTAAAAAGAACCCCACAAAGTGGTTTACGAAAATAATAAAACCACGTTAATACCATTTTTAAACAAGTTAAAAACAACAGTTCAAACCCTTCAAGAATAATTGAGATCATGTATAGTGTATATGTGTGGCTCCCAATTGCTGGTCTGCGTAACCAACCCAAAATCGTGTCTGTCCGTCCCCAATCCAAGATCAGGTGCCTGGCTGGAAGATGTACACCCCAGTTTTGCATGGGGAAATGTTGGAGGGTATAGTGGCACCATTCACATAACGAAAACTACCACAAAAATACCAACATTTTAAAAAGCAGAAGGTCCGTGGCTTGGCTTTTGAAAAACAGGGGGTCCACAGCACTTCTCTAATTGGGAACCACCAGCGTATATCTTGAGCCAATATATCGTGTTGATGCGACCTTGGGCTCAGACCAAAACCTTCCCCCACCCCCAGAAGTGGTTTTAGAGTTTGCCTTCCATGTTGCAAGCCCTATTGCCCCAATACCTTTTCAAGCTTGGGTCCCGAGATGTGGTTGTTCTACAACTCCCACCATCCCCAGCTATCTTGGTCAGAGATGATGGGAGTTGTCATCAAAGGCTGAAGAGGACTGCTTACTGACACGAGAGGTTTCAGTAACTTATTTCCTTATTCTGTTTCCACAGTGAGGATCTTTAGGTATACAGATGGATACAAAGGATTTCTCCAGCGAACAAGATGAGCCCTCGATTTATAAATACATATATATATATATGATGAAAGGCAGCACCAAAATTTGCTACATGGCCCTGGATTTTAAGTATTGGCCTCAACTGTTACCTTCTAAGTAAAATCTTCAGCTTTCCTATATACATAGTATGAGCATATACCAATTTTAAGCATTTGGCCCCATCTCCAAAAATGCATACATACATGAGAGTCAAACTATGACCCACTATTATGTTTAAACTAGGAGATCTGTGAGACCGATGGGGTGATCGCTGTACCATTATCTTGGGCCGATTCCAAGATCTTGGGATGCATCCCCCAAAACTTCTGTCGTCCTCTTGGAGATGCAGGAACCAGAAATGTATATGGTTCTCCAAAGAGCGTATTTTGCAGAGGCCCGTTTCTCCATGTACAATTGGAGGGCTCACCAATAACAGCTGCAGTCCCTAAAACTCACTGAAGATGCTTGCTCAGTAAGCTTTCGACAGCTGAAAGAATCTTCGCCAAGCCAAAACACAGCTGGAGGCTAGAACACAAAACACAGTGTCCTACAAGAGGAGGAGCTTTTTTGCAGGGTCTGGTGTTGTGGCAATTGTCCCTTGGACCAGATGCCCATCTGATCTCTCTCCACGCTCTGTATTTATCTGCAAACAGGTACACAAAAAATGCCAGGAGTCCCCCGAGCAAAACAATATGGGAGAAGTTCAAACACTGTTGGGTGTCAATGACAGTCTGTAGATTCTTTTCTTTCCTTTGCCCAGGACGGATTATCCTTGTGGTAGGGCTCCATCCACCACAGGTGATTAAATTTATTCAACAGAGGTAACCTTGGGAAAGCCTGTCCACAAAATTATTATTTATTCAGTTTCAATCCTGCCCTTCTTCTCTGCGTAAACTGCCCTTCGCTTACCACCCAGATGGATTCCGTCCACCAGTAAACTTTGATGCTATGACGAAATATTCCGACATTTTAGGGAATTTGCATGTGTAGATTCTTTGTCGCTTAGCAGGGCCTGTTTAGTTAGGGGAACGCTCTAGTCTAATTCACTTATTACTACAGTTATTTATACGCCGTAACTCTCTGTATGCAAGGCAGATTACAAATAACATCAAAATACATTTTTAAAAAGAAAACCCACAGCAAACAATATACAGTGGTACCTTGGGTTACAGACGCTTCAGGTTACAGACTCCGCTAACCCAGAAATAGTACCTTGGGTTAAGAACTTTGCTTCTGGATGAGAACAGAAATCGTGCGGTGGTGGCGTGGCGGCAGCGGGAGGCCCCATTAGCTAAAGTGGTGATTCAGGTTAAGAACAGTTTCAGGTTAAGAATGGACCTCCAGAACAAATTAAGTTCTTAACCCGAGGTATCACTGTAAACATATTGTAAGTCACCAGGATCCTTCCCTGGGGTCCATCAAATGCAGAAGAAGCTGGTCCTGAGGTCTTCTCCTCCCTCCCTCTCTCCTGGGACTCTTCTAGAGGGAAGATGGTAGAGGATGATGGCATATTTATATATATATATGTATATGATGTTGTTTGGATGTGAATCATCTGAAATGAAATTTGGGCAACCCCTCTCAAGTCCCTTCTCAACTGCAAACATTTCTAGGATCCAAAGCATCTGTCTGTTTTGTAGTGAATTCTTTACTTTGGGAAAGAACCATTTCCACCCGGTTTTCAAATGGCTTCTACACTTCAGTGGATTCTATGGTACAAGAAACCGGTGCTCTTGAGTGGAGATCCTTCCACACGTTTCAAGCATTTGCGTCAGGGGTGGGACATGTTTTCCAGCCAGAGGGTCATATCCCCTCCAGGGCAGCCTTCCGGCAGGGGTGTCATGGGGCCAGAGGCAAAAGCAACCAGAGCAACGGACGGTTTCACTTCGTTGTGGGTTCTCTGATGATAAGTAAGGCTATTGCTGTGACTGAAGGTCCTTTCACACTCTGAGCATTTGTATGGTTTCTCCCCTGTGTGTATTCTTTCGTGTCTAGTAAGGGTTGTCCACTGACTGAAACTCTTGCCACACTTGGAACATTCATATGGCTTCTCTCCCGTGTGGGTTCTTTGGTGGCTTGTAACGTGAATCTTCTGGCTGAAGCTTTTCCCGCACTCCGGGCATTTGTACGGTTTCTCTCCGGTGTGGATTCTGAGGTGTATAGCGAGGGTTTGGCTGCAACTGAAGCTTTTCCCGCACTCAGAGCATTTATAGGGTCTCTCACCTGTGTGGGTTCTTTGATGGTGGGTAAGACCTGTGCTATAGGTGAAGCTCTTTCCACACTCAGAGCAGGTAAATGGTTTTTCGCCTGTGTGGGTCCTTTGATGGTTTATCACATGTATCTTCTGGCTGAAGCTCTTCCCGCACTCGGGACATTTGTATGGTTTCTCCCCTGTGTGGATTCTGTGGTGCAAAGCAAGGGTTTGGCTACAATTGAAGTTCTTCCCACACTCTGAGCACTTGTATGGTTTCTCGCCCGTGTGGGTTCTTCTGTGATAAGTAAGGCCGGTGCTATGACTGAAGCTCTTCCCGCACTCTGAGCACGAAAACGGTTTTTCTCCCGTGTGGGTCCTCTGATGGTCTGTGACGTGCGTCTTCCGCTTGAAGCTCTTTCCACACTCCAAACATCTATATGGCTTCTCGTCGGTTTGGAATGTTTGATGATAAAGGTCATCGCTGTCGCAGAAACCCTTTTCAGGGGAGAAACATTTAAATGGTTTCTCCCCTGTGTGGATTCTCTGATGATCAGTAAGGCTGCTGCTCTGACTGAAGCTCTTCCCGCACACTGAGCATTTGTATGGCTGCTCTGCTATTTGCACTCTTTGAGATGCACTAAGACTCAGGATCTCACTTGCAATCGTTGCGTGTTGAGGGGAGGTGTTCCTTGTGTTTTTCGCTGTGTCGCATTCATCTTTTAGCTTTGGGATTTCACACACGTCTGCGTCTTCAGAGATGAAAGATTTTCCCCTCAGCTTCTGTCTTGTCTCAGGTTTCCTCCTCTGCTGTTCAGGCTCCTTCTCGCTCCAACTTCCATAACCTGAAATAAAAAGAAGGGGGCCTGATCAGGGTGGATCTCAGATCAGAGAATACAAGAACCAATATATTAAGTAAATACAAGAACCATATACAGTGGTACCTTGGTTCTCAAACTTAATCCGTTCCGGGAGTCTGTTTGACTCCCGAAACCATTCGAAAACCAAGGCGCGGCTTCCGATTGGCTGCAGGAGCTTCCCGCGCTCAAATGGAAGTTGTGTCAGAAGTTTGGCTTCCAAAAAACGTTTGCAAACCAGAACACTTACTTCCAGGTTTGCGGGAGCCAATTTGTTTGGGAGCTAAGCTGTTCGAGTACCAAGGTACGACTGTATTAAGTACTGTGTCCAGTTCTGGGCACCACAGTTCAAGAAGGACACTGACAAACTGGAACGTGTCCAGAGGAGGGCAACTAAAATGGTCAAAGGCCTGGAAACGATGCCTTATGAGGAACGGCTAAGGGAGCTGGGCATGTTTAGCCTGGAGAAGAGGAGGTTAAGGGGTGATATGATAGCCATGTTCAAATATATAAAAGGATGTCACATAGAGGAGGGAGAAAGGTTGTTTTCTGCTGCTCCAGAGAAGCGGACACGGAGCAATGGATCCAAACTACAAGAAAGAAGATTCCACCTAAACATTAGGAAGAACTTCCTGACAGTAAGAGCTGTTCGGCAGTGGAATTTGCTGCCAAGGAGTGTGGTGGAGTCTCCTTCTTTGGAGGTCTTTAAGCAGAGGCTTCACAACCATATGTCAGGAGTGCTCTGATGGTGTTTCCTGCTTGGCAGGGGGTTGGACTCGATGGCCCTTGTGTTCTCTTCCAACTCTATGATTCTATGATTCTAAGCTTTCTGCTGTCCATCAGGCAATGGTCCCCCCCCACTGCCTTGCCCCCACCCTCTAGCCCTAGGCCATGACTTTGAGCAAAGCAGAAGCAGCTGACAAGAGAGGAGTTCAGGGATATTTAAAAAATAATTTTATAAGTTGTGTGTCTTTGTTTCTCAATTTGATCCTTTTACATGGTGTATATTTTGAGGTATTTTATGCACTGACTTGCCATTATTTCCATTGATTATAGTTTAGCAATTCTTTATTGTAATTGTTGTTACAGGTAGGTAGCCATGTTGGTCTGCCGTAGTCGAAACAAAATAAAAAAAATCCTTCCAGTAGCACCTACAGGAAGGAATTTTTATTTTATTGTAACTGATAAGTGTAAACTGTTTAATTTTTATTTGCTGACATTTAACTTCACTGTTTACTGTGACATTCTAATGGATGATTGAATATTGCTTTATTTGATATAAGTTGTTCATTTCAAGGTTATTGTGACTTTTTTTGTATCGGATTAGATTGTTATTACATGTGTGATCTTCGCTGTCTGTTTTGTTGTTTGCTTGTAAGCCACCTTGGATATAGTAATACAGTCATACCTCGGGTTACAGATGCTTCAGGTTGTGTTTTTTCGGGTTACGGACCCGCTGAAACCTGGAAGTACCTGAACGGGTTACTTCTGGGTTTCGGTGGCCGCACATGTGCAGAAGCTCTAAACTGCACTTTGCACATGTGCAGAAGCACCGAATCGCAACCTGCGCGTGCGCAGACGTGCCGCTGCAGGTTGCGAACACGGCGGGTTGCGAACGTGCATCCCGCACGGATCATGTTCGCAACCCAAGCACCCACTGTATAGAAAAGCAGTACACAAATTAAAAGTGAAATGAAATGAACTATTAAGTAGCTCCTGTTGACTAGCATTAACTGGAAATTGATGTGATGAAGTACATACAGAAGGTATGAGGAACACCGCTGGGTATTCTCACACCTACTTTGAGACAGTCATAGAATCAGAGAGTTGGAAGGGAACCTGAGGATGATCTAGTCCAACCCCCCTGCAACGCAGGAATATGCAGCTGCCCTATATGGGAATCAAACCTGCAACCTTGGTGTTAACAGCACTACGCTCTGACCCTGAGAGCAGATAAAGGTAAAGGTAAAGGGACCCCTGACCATTAGGTCCAGTCGTGGCTGAGTCTGGGGTTGCGGCGCTCATCTCGCTTTACTGGCCAAGGGAGCCGGCATACAGCTTCCAGGTCATGTAGCCACCATGACTAAGCCAGAGCAACGCACAGAAATGCCGTTTACCTTCCCGCTGGAGTGGTACCTACTTATCTACTTGCACTTTGATGTGCTTTTGAACTGCTAGGTTGGCAGTTCAACGAGCAACAGGAGCTCACGCCGTCGCGGGGATTTGAACCGCCGACATTCTGATCGGCAAGTCCTAGGCTCAGTGGTTTAACCCACAGCGCCACCCGCGTCCCTCTGAGAGCAGATACTTTCCCACTAATATAATAATAAAATTTTTTATTTATACCCTGCCCTCCCCAGCCAAGACCGGGCTCAGGGCGGCTAACACCAAATATAAAAACAATTGATTGAAATACAGCTTAAAAAACAAGATTAAAATACAACATTAAAACATTAAAATGCACCCGCATTTTAGTGGAAACTCAATCAAAAACTTTTTTGGGGATAAAAACGTCAAGTCTTCACCAAGGCTAGCTATCTGTACTGGTCCTACATGGGTCAGAAAAAAGCCAGGGAAGTCCCCAAATAGGAGTTCCAACACAGAAAGAGAAAAGAAAAAAGAAAGAAAGAGGGGGAGAGAATCAAATTGACTCCAAGCCAAAGGCCAGGCGGAACAACTCTGTCTTACAGGCCCTGCGGAAAGAAATCAGATCCTGCAGGGCCCGGGTCTCATGAGACAGATTCTTTTCCACTGAGCTTGGAAAGCTACCTCATTTATGCACGCCTGGTCAGACCATTGGTCAGTCTAGATCAGTGCTATCTAAACTGACTGGGAATGGCTACTATTGAGCTATGAGGTGTCCTGGACAGATGGGCATGAATACAGATAAAGAGCTGCAGCAATTCCCACGTCCCGGACCTATCAGCCAAGGCCAAAGAGGGAACCTTACCCAGAGAAGCCAGGTTCCAGTAGTTCTCCTCCATGACTTCTCTGTGCAGAGCCCTCTGGCTCGGATCCAACAGAGTCCACTCCTCCTCCGTGAAAAAGACAGCCACCGCCTCAAAGGGCACTGGGTCCTGCAAAATAATAATAA